ATGTTGCATCACAAGCATATATTCTTTTACGCAAGCTTATCATCACTTTATCCCTATCATTCTAATACATTGTATGTTTTCCCATAAGAATCAGAATTTATTTTCAAAAAGAATTTCTGCTCAAATTTCAGCTCTTTATACGGCCTTTGTCTTCATCTATAATATCTCGCTAATAGCGTAAAACCACACATACGGATTGCCATTCCATTTTCATCCATTAAAACAAAAGTCCCTTTCCAGAATCAACTTATACTTCACAAATAACCTATTCTTTTTTCTTGTTTACTAAGTTAACTCTTTTCATATCCATTTATAACCAACGTAGGTAATGTTTCGATTTAGCTACTGTTTTAATAGACTTAGTCATTTCTTAATATTGTTTCATAAAACGTTCAGTATGTTATAATAAAATCCAAATTATATAATACACTTCATAATTATGTTAATATTTAAACCTTTAAAGTACATTTTAAATCATGTTATTACGAATGCAGCAGCAAGGGGCATGGGTCAAGGTGTACTAATACTTTTCGTAGTAATATTGGTATTATAGACACCTACTAAGTGGACATTGAGGAATACATAATGTTTTGAGAGCTTTATACAAACAAAAAATTTTCTACTATATTCAAATAACTGTACAAAGAAATATGTTATGTTGGAAGTACTATTCAATATTGCTTTAATTAGTATTCGCTTTACTTCATACCTTCAGTAGCAGGGCATCTAACATGTAAAAATGTAAATAATAATATAAATTAATATATAAAATAAAAATAACATTCTTAGTATAGGGGTGGTGTAAATAAAATAAAATTTATTATAATTAAAATTACCTTGAAATTAGTAAATACTGCATATAAAACTATTATAATCACATTTTTAAATATTTACGTAATTTCTGTTATTAATTGCTGATGATATTTGAATATAGACGCAACCTTGAAAATGTTCAGATTATAAAGAAAACTAAATGTCCAATTATATAAAGATTATATCTGTAATCACATAATCATAACAAAAACTTGATTACCTACTTTCAAGGACAAGGTAATTGACTGGTAATATCTAATTAATTTATCTTTACATCGCTATGTGATAAATATAATATTCCCATCAATAAACCTATAAAAATATATAAGTTTTCATAAGTTTGTAACCAACGATTAAGGGTTTTGTGTATTAATCTATATTTTTTTTCCATTGTTACGAATTATAATAGATAAATATCATCACTTCCTATTCACTTATTGTTTTCCTTCTCAAATTAATGAATAAGTAAATTTAAATCAAACTACGCTTAGTAGTAGATAAGAAAAGAAAATTTTAAATCCTGAACCCAACAAGGAAGCATTACCAAATTTAATAAACATTAGTAATATAACCGTCATTTCAGTCATTATCATTTCAGCCATAAACCATCCACTACTGAACATAAGCTTCCCTTATAAACCGCAATAACGAACCCTTTCGAGCCACTTGCACCCATTTACTCCCTCCAATACATTTGTGGTCATCACACCATCTAGTCGTTTTACACTTTGTTTATCTCTACAAAGTCGGTTACATGGGGTTGCCGATTCTTCGAGCTATATGACCAGCCCATTGTCACTTCAGCTTGCTTATCCTTCGAGATCGTGTGTCATACTGTATTTTAATTATTCATATCGGATTTACTCACGTTTTAAATTCAGAATAATAAATGAATGTATGAATAAGGGCTCTACTGTGTTCGAAACTAGTCGAGTATTCCTAAATTTAAAACGTGGGAAAAGTCGTCATTATTAGGTTATAATCACTTAAATTATCACCTAATAATTTACTAGAACAAATGAAGAGCTGACCTACGATCTAAAAAAGACTTTTAATATAGCATAGATTTGAATAAAAATTTATACACGGATAGGTAATATTTTAACATATAGGACACTGTATATACTAAATTACATGGACAAAACTGCGGTAAATAATTAGTAAAAATAAAATAATAAAAATTTTATGTATTTTTTGTTATTGTCTATCAGTATACCAAAGTCGCAGGAAAAGACTAGTCCATAAATATTATATCTCATTAAAATCATAAATGTAAAAGTTTGTAAAAATACTTAGATAATTGTAATAAATTTGACTTGTATTTGGTATAATATTATCTGGTTTATATTATTGTCCTAAATTAAAATTAGATACTGAGTACATTATCTGTTTTGATCGCTGATATAGAATGCCTATTTTGAAAGAAGAAAGATACTAATCTTGTTATGGAAATTATATAACTAAACAATTTTGAACCTAAGATATTTAAGATTATCATTATATACATTGTTTAAGTACCTTTACAAATTTATCAAATTTAAATTTCCATTGAGTCCATATTCATTAAATGTCATTTAACAATTGACAAAGTAACTATTTTTTTCTTTTTTTTTTATTGTTAAGGAAACAAACGAACAGACGATCCACATGATAGAAAGCAGCTACTGTCGCCCATACACACCTGCGATACGAGAAGAGTTGTTTATGCTTTGCCGGCTTTTTATATATTTGTAAGCACGTTTCTTTAAATGCCCTATATTATATAGTAAAGGGAAAACTAAAGAATATTTAAATATTGACGTGAGACAATTCAATTGGTGTGGATCAGTAAATTGTGTAATCCCAAATAAATATTGTCCACTAATATCTATCCACCATTTATGTGGTAGGTATATACATTTTTCAGCACGACACTTTTGTCTAAAATACTTCTTACAGTTACCACTAGTTACTGTTAGATATTTCATTTGCAGTAAATTTTGCTTTTAAAAACTTTTTTGTACAAGGAGCAGAACCAGGCCTTAATCTCTGTTTAAAATTATGCAGCTGATTTAACATTATATTAAATTCAAATTATTTATTAATTCAATTTTTATGTATGTCTGACAACTAAAATTCGAATATTTGTATCTATTCATAATCGGGACTAAATTATAAATGTTAATGATTGAAGATCTATTTAAGATAATGCGTGTTTTTAATTATTATAATTTACAACAGTTATAAAAAAGTAATAAAATATTAAAATGGCGTCGTCGTAATGAATGACGAAAAAGTTACATAATATACGCATCCTAATATTATTTTAGTTAGCTGTATCTATTTTTACCCGCTTAGTTTCAAATAGTTGACAAAGCTTTTGCAAATGTATGTCATCACGATGACAATGATATGAAGCTTTCAAATGAGTCCATTGTGTTTTCACTCACGTACTATTTCCTAACTCGTCTCATGAATTAAATGTTTAAATTCTGAGTGTAATAAACACTTAAATGTAACTTTACCATTTTTCATATATTTACTAAACTACAATTTTATACATATTTATTCGTACTTTAAAAAGTAAGCCTATATAAAAATTATGACTGACTCTCTGTTGATCTGTTTTTAGGAGATATTAGAAAATTCCGAATATGTAATTCTTTAGTTTGAAATTTTTCTTTCATTTTCTGTTATAATTATTTATAATAAAAGTGGTAATAATTAACAATTTCATCTTTTTTTTTTTATACAACTTAGAATGGCAAACAAACTGACGGCCCACCTGATGGAAAGTGGTAACCGTCGCCTATAGACATGAGCAGTACCATGGACATAACAGAGTATACTGTTTCGCCCATGATATCCCTCATGCATTGCCATTCCTGAGGACTCAGGTGTTATTCCTCCGTACCCAGTAAATTCACGCCATATCTCACCCTTCAAACCGAAACACAGCCATGCAAACACAACTGCTTTGCGGTTAAAACACGAATGGGACAGAGGTATCCAAGCAATCGACTTTTGTACAAAGTCTCCCCCTGATGTTCATCATAAATAAACTATTACTGTAGTCCATGAATAACTATAATAACAAACGTATTAGTATACGTTTTGCCGTAGAATATTTTGTATCAATTTTGGAGAAAAAAAAAATCACCGTAAATATTCTCTACAAAACTCACATATGAAGCTAAAATTAATAATAGATAAATAATTACAAAGAGAATTATGGCCCTGGTATTCACCAGGTTTACTAATAATTGTTTACTAATATTATTAATTAAGACAATTTGTTTTTTCTACATTTTATACTTTTGAGTGTCTTATTTATTTAATAGTTTTATGGTCAATAAATATATAATTGTAGGATGATAAAAAATAAGTTATAGCAGTAGTAGGTACATGAAACGATCTACCAAAATATTAATTCAAAATTTTGTCAATATTTTTCAGTTTGACACTCAAAGAAACCAAAAAAGAATACGTTCATAAGAATAATACATACTACATAAGAAAATAATAAATCTATAAAGGATATGAACAAATTGTGATGAATAAAATTTACGTCGCTATTAATATAAAACATTAGAACTTTTCTGCTATATAGAACTATATATAGCATAACAATAAATGACATTGTGGTAATCTAATGACTTCAACCCCTGTCACATGTGTAGGTATAGCTTCATTTATTAGTGTTTAGTTCAATTTAGACTCTAAAGCGGGTTAACAACAGGCAGGCAGCCGATCGTAAAACTATAAGCCAATTTTTTTTGTAATATAGATAAAAAAACATATTACGCCGATCCCAAATAATAATTGGGATAAGAATAGGAAGATGATGATGACTCATATTAAAAGTTACTATTTAAAAAAAATATACTACGGAATCCTATTTCAATCGACATGAAGATTAAGTCAAGAATTAACGAGATTCTTCAAAAATTTTCATAAATAGCATCTTATAAATTTTCCACGCACATTATCTTATCAAACCTCATGAATATTAATTAATATATTTTTTGTCATTATACAGTTAAAGTACCATATTGTTTACATACCTTTAACTTAACTAGCCCTTCGGGGACAAAGTTACAAACATATATTATTATAATTCTTATCACTTATGTCATAGTTTGACCATCGTTTACATAAAATTTTGATTAGTGACCGTGTCGATGTTTACAAAAAAATTCTTGAGGTCCGAAGCAGAGAGCGGTGCTCACGGCACAGCGTCCCATCCTCACATGATGTCAGCTTGCAAGTGCACCAGCACGGGATTATATAAAATGAACGACCTACACTAGTTACTCATTCGTTAGTTTGTGCTCAACACGAATACTAAGCAACATGCTCAAATACGTGAGTTGCATTTTTTTTTTTGTTTATTAATCATTACAATAAGTATCGAAGGCCGTATTTTGTGGCTAAATGCTAAATTTTTAATCCCCATTTATAACCCGTTGCAAAAGTGTCGTGTCTTGTGATGTATTAACTTCAGATGAACGACAGTGGATTGTGGTGTCCAATAAAAGTTATTTGTAGTTATGTATACTCTTTATTTTAGTTAATCAAATTGCTAATTACCTGTTTAATTACATTCTTTAATTTTTCCCTCCCGAGTGACTAACTAGTCCATTTCTTTATCAAAATGTGTTTTTTTTTTATATCTCGTGTATTGTTTTGTGTATTTCTCATAATTAATATTCCGATTAGGATTTTTTTTGATGCCATGAGGATAACAATGAAGCAATCAAATATATGTCCCGACTGATGATAAACAAGCACCACAAGCTAAGGATACTTGTATCAATAATTTTAACAATCGTATATTGTCAACCCTTGTGACATTATTATTATTTAAAATTGGAATGCATACTATTATCATGTTCTAAATTGGAATACACCTGTAAATTTATATGTACTTTAATATCGATAATTTCAGGTAACGGTCTTATGCGTAGTCGTGGCGCTATGCGCGGGCGCACCACAACAAAACCCCCAAGATGTACAGATCCTGCGTTTTGATAGCAATGTTGAACCCGATGGCTATAGTTTTGCGTAAGTTTTCTATCATGACAGAATTATTAAATATAGAAAGATCAGTAATTAATATGCAGCGGATACCTTTAAAATTTATATCTTAGAATAATAATATTTTATAATATCTCTGTAATTTAGTACTATCAATTCAAAAATAATTAAGAAATTTTAATTGGGTACTGTTAATTTGCGTAATATAATAATCAGAGATTTTATGCTTTTCTACTATATTTATGATAGTAGAATATCTAAAATAAATTCTAAAGTAATTAACACATAGTATAAATATAATAATAGTTTCATAGCTAACCATGGACGTAGATTAATGTACTAACGATGTAACTTACGCAGTTCAAATAATATATTTTATTATATATTAATTGTAACATCAGAAAGATTGAAATGTTCTATTTTGTATTTTAGGCACATAAAAAACGCGACTTTATTCTTATAAATTATTACATTTATTTATAAAATTATTTATATTTAAAATAACAATTTACTTTATTGTTGAAATCAACTCCATTATGGAATGTTAAGGAAAAGGAAATATATAAACTTATAACTGTAATTCCACAAAAACACTAAACAATGCATTCGCACCAAATCAAATTGATAAGTGTATCTGAGAAAATAATAAGATATATAAGTACATAGATATTTCTATAGAGTTTATTTCATTTGACAACAATGGTTTTCCAAAGTATTGTTCTATGGTATATAATTCATGATCATCTAAAGATTCGAATAAACTCAACTCCGCAGTATTCAAAGTTTATATGAAAAATCAAGCATTGTCTTTTCTAACAATACATATTTATATCAATCCTAATTATACATTCACATAGCATTGTATTCTTAAATATTAATTAAAATAACAGTCGCACAAGTTCTATTCAGAATTATTAGAGATGCCAATCTTAATGCATTGGCTTTACTAACATTAGTTTATAACTTCAACAGATACGAAACCAGTGATGGTACATCTCGCCAGGAGGAGGGCAAACTTGATAACCCGCAATCTGAGAATGCAGCCTTGACGGTCACTGGGCAGTACGCTTATGTCGCCCCTGATGGCAAGCACTACACCGTCACCTTCACAGCTGGTCCCAACGGTTTCCAACCCAAAACATCCCTCGGACAGAAGAAGTAAAGCCATAAACCAACTTTGATCATTGTACATAAAATCTAAGATCAAAGTTTTAGGGACAACCTTTCAACATACCTTACAATATCCAGTGAACACTCGATCTCAGTTACTTCGAGCACACAGAAGGGTTTCTGCTAAATTCTTGTGCCATAAAAATGCCTTTTCTATTTTTTTAATTTTGTAAAATCTTTTGTGATTTATATAAATAAATGATTATTACTCGATTTTATGACTATTTTTGTCGGTTATAATGACCTACGAATTATGGATATGATCGTGAACCATCATGGACTGAATAAAAAAAATAATCATAACCTACGTTTTAGGTACATATATTTTTAATATAAAAGTCAAGGGAGATAAATATCCCAAATTGTGAGACAAATTGTGACAAATATAGTAATAATAATAATATAACTAAAAATATCAAGGCATCCAGTCTGTTGTAGATTTGTGGTAAAATTCAATATATTTACATAGAGTCCATTTTTCCTTTTAAGTACGACAGTAGTAAATCATCTGTGATGTTGATATATCATATTTTTTTATTTACATAATTATGTATACTTTATTATGCAAACTCATATTATATAAAAATATAACAGAGATGAGCAAATATATAAAGGCGAGCTTAACTTTAAAAGAGCTTTCTTCCATTGTTCTTTATTTTAATATTCCAAAGTAATATTTGTATATTTATGAGGTAAAAACACTTGAAAAAATAAATCCTTTATTTAAATTATTGGTGCAATAAAGGGTTAAATAAATCAAATTTTCCTTTCTAGAAACGAATATTTCCATTTTATTTCCTTCTGGATATACAATATATAGATATTAAATGAACTACATACATGAGCTAAAACAAAATAAGTCGCATTTGTTTAATAAAATAGTTTATTTATCCAATGTATTAGTCATTTGTCTAAACTAATAATAATATTTGAAAAAAAAGTAACTGAAATACCAAACTTTAATAAGATTCAGTTGAACTCTAACCTCGAGAGAACGCAATTAAATTTTATACCCAAATATCATCACGATAATTAACAAAAACTTTCGCAATTGATTTGATGAAACACAATTTTGTAAACAAGGAATATGTTTTTGTGGCCAATAATGTGATTGTAGCCTTTACTTATCTAATATTAATAGTACTTCCTCATTCGGTGGACCTGCTTTACTCAATTCTTTACAGCAGTCGTCTACAGTATACAGTACAATCAGTTGTCATAAGTACATTAAAAATGATTCGTATTCAAAATTAGGTTTAACGTGTAATTATTGGTAAATTACGCTCTATATTAAATATTGGAAACATGTATTAACACACTCAGTATCTACTCATCACAATTTTATAAGAAACAATGAAATCTCTTAAGTCATTTTTAAATTAAATTGTTTTTTTCTTTTTTTTTTGCGCTATTGCTATATATACATTGTTCTGCGTTTCAGTATTACTAAAATTATTTATTTTTATGGAGTTACTAAAATTTTGTTACTTAAAACGCAAAATAGAAACGCATGTTACGGTAAAGAAAATTCCTTCGCATGACTCTAAAAATTAATAATTATCATAAATTTTAGGAACATTATTTCAGACTTTAGACTGGTGCTTTAGAATTTTATATATTAATATATGTTTTATTCATAAACCACATATTATTTTTATTCAAATATATGCGAATTATAAATGTAAATCAGGTATTCATGTAATACAAGTAACCGTTCAGATTACTGACAATCTAGAACTCTTTAGTGAGTATATTATACAATCTAATTTTTAGCGAAACTAGGATCAAAATTGCTTCAATGACATTTCGAAGAAGTATCTCCCAACCTTTTAAAATTTTCTACAAGACTGAGTACGAAAGAAGATAATTCACGTTTGTATAGTAGATTGATTGGAATGTACCAAGTTCCATGCCTTTGGTGCACAAAAAATTGTTTGCCTATGTGGTATTGATCAGCTTACAACTAGCTTACTATATACGAATAAATATTTTTGGTAAAATTTACAAATTCAGTTTCGATGTAGAAAAAAATGTATTGGAAGAGTTCCATAGATTTTAAGTTTTATGCTGTAATATTCATAAAAAGAGAATAGGATTCTTTAAAAAAAAACTTTCAATATTCTCAGTATTGAAACCTATTGAACATTTATTTAGAAAGAAAAATTAAATTATTAGATTTCCTCAAAAACAATTAAGCATAAATATTGTTCTTAATTACAAGATTTACTTTTATGGAGATCTCTCTTCTATGTTTTTCTGTATAATTTTATATATATAAGGCGAAAAAATTTTATGCTGGAACGCAGACTTCTAACTAGCACAATTACGAGGAAAAATACTCTGTTTCAATCATTTGACTACAGAACGCTAAAAGCACTAAGATGATCGCTTGTCATTCCTGTTTACCATTTGTTTTTGATTATGAAATAGAAAAAAAAACAAAAGATGTGCTGGTTTTTTGTGATTAGTTTTAAATTACCGTGTATATTTATTTACGCAACAAAAATACAATTACAGGTCATTAATTACATGCCGTGTTCAGATAAAATGAAGCGTAAAATTTTGTAAGGTCAAATATAATTTTATATCGTCATATGAATATTTATTAATACTTTTAAGTATTCACAAATTTTAAATTCCTGCAATACCATCTGCAAAATTGATTAACTAAGTTAGTATTATTGTTCAATGATGCAATTAAACATGTAAATGACGTTGCATTTGGTGTACACATACGCCCACTCTGAGCCATTAAATATCATTTACACACTTCAGTGCAATATGTTAGATCTTAGTTCCATACCTCGAATGTTCGGTAGGCATTGTACAGCTATAAGTAAGTACGTTTCGTAAACCTAGCTAAATGCCAAAGCACGCATGTCGCGTCTGCTTCTCTCGTCGATACACAGTAAACCACTTCATATTATATGTTTTTATGATAATCTTATAACCTTCAATATAACACTTTATTATTATTTATAATTAATCATCATTTTCAACAACTGTCATGGGGCGTGTCGAAAATATCTGGTTGCTAAACACATAATGCGCACTACATACAGCAAATTGTTTACTCAATAATGACATTAAAAGTTTATAAAGAAAAATAGTAACCTATATTCTGGCTTGGAATATTTAAACAGTAATTACAGTCTTGTCATTATCTAGATGTAATCATATACAAGACAATATGCGTATATATTCGAGGATAGATTCTATTTTATAAATTACGCAATAGCTCAAGTATTGTCGCCGGCTTTGTTGGGACGAGTATGTTTGAGAACCTTCGTTATGTCAGATTTATTTAAAATGATTACAAAATAGCTGTGACGAAACAAGTAACCTTTAGTACATTACCAGTTAGTTCAATTCACATGTAACAAAATATAGACATCTAGCTTTGCTTTACCTAACTAGTAGCAATTGTACTAAAACGGATGAATATTTAGTACACATTTAATATTGGAAAAATATTGTCATGACAACCCTTAATCGTCCCATTATTGAGTACGGACATCTCTCCCAATAAGAATAATATTGCCCTTTACGCTGTGGTACAGTCTAAGGAAAGGTATACTACATCTATATTCATGCGAGACATGTCGCAGGCATTGAACCACTACTATTAATATGAAGTGACAATGACCCGTCTGCCAGGCGTGGCAACTACTGGCAAAACTCCCCTTATAGGGAAGGCTTATTGTTCAGCAGTAGACAATTAACAGCTGAAATGATGATAATGAAGTGGCAATACGTATGTATACTGTATCATTACCTTGTTGGCTAGGCGACTTTAGTATGAAGTTTTATTAAAAGTTTCCTTTCTTCTACACTGGTTTATTCTCCTTATTCGCCTCCATAGCGATAATTTCAAATTTATGAAATTTAATAACTGAGTTTTTATATGAAACAGACACAAATATAAATTTCAAAAATTTCCTGTAGATTACGTCCTTCCTCTTATACTCTTAAAATAATACCTATCATAAAAAGCATTAAAATTAAAAAAAAAATTACTAACTCTCATTCTATGCAATAGATTTTGTTACTTACCTACCTAAAAACAGGATCAGGATAAAAGAAAACCACGGTAAATATACTCCAAATAAAAAATTTTTGTTTCGCCGTGTGATCCCGGCGTAGAATAGGCAACCCCTTCCTTTGCCGTGGGTATCGTAAGATCGACTAAGGGAGAACGAGGGATGTGCATCAGCGTCTATCTTAAAATGTCTCTAAAAGCCTAATTGCAGTTGCCAACCCGGCTGCCAGGCATGGCAACTATTGGCAAAACTGCCATTACGGAGAAGGCTTATGTTGTATTAAAATAATAATAATAGACAGTTTTTGTAATGACTATTCTTCTATACAAATCGTAGAGTAACTGTAAAAATACAAATTCTCACGGTTTTTAAAATTGCTGTAACAATTTTTGTCAATATAATCTTATATTTGCGAGGTACAAAATAGTTATATGAGATTTTTCTGTAGGTACTTAGTATAATTAAATATTAACAATTTTTTTGCGAACTACAAACACTTTCGTACCTATTATAAGAAGTGGCTTTCAATACTACCAACGAATATTCTCATACATCTTAACGACGATTTAATACTGACTTAATACTTTAGCATTAGATAGAAGACAAGAATGAATTCCTTGGAGTAAGGAATAAGTCTTGAATAAGGAATAAGACACTTTTCAAGCGACTTCAAAAAGAAGGCGGTTCTTCATTCGGTTGTATTTTTTTTATGTTTGTTTCCTCATAACTCGATCAATTATAAACCGATTTGAAAAATTCTAATTTATTTGAAGCAGACGGAATTTGACCGCGCACTTGCTACGCTATGTCGAAGCCAGTTTATCTTTTGCTTCACCATACGCCCGTCCGAATTCAACAAACAATACCCAAAATATATTTATATATGTACATATGATGTTGTTTTAATTAGAGACCATTTTTATTATATTATCTGTATCTCGATTTTGTACAATGACAATGTTAAATGTATTTCTCCATACTGTAGGTGGGTATAATATTAACAAATGTATTCTTAAAGAGAGTTGACGTCAAGTAGGCGATCAGTCGTAAAATTAAAATAAAAAAAAAAAAACATATTATGCCAATTCCAAAAACGTATATAATTGGAATAAGGGTAGGAAGATGAAGATGACAAACATGTTAAATAAAAACATAAGAAATAATTTGTTATTATTATTTAATTAATACCTAGATGCAGTAGTCACTTCACATTATTAAGGTGACCAGTTGTACTTCAGCTAACAGAACTTCAGGTTCAAGCCCTTTTACCTACTCAGCCTTTTCCACCACAGGGGCTTTAGGTAAATGATCTCCCTCTACATGAAAGCCGCCATTGACATCCGTTTTGTATTTGGTGGTATAAGTCTTGCCATCGTCTCCAATGAATGAATATTCTCCCTCATAGACAAGGACATGATCTTTGCCATCAACAGTGGGTACGAGACGACCACGCTCGGAAACTACGATACCCTCAGCCGTAATGTAACGTAGAGCGTATTGCCCAAAGTCATCATGGACTTCTTCGTGTTGTAAAGCGGGTAGGGAGCGACGGGCTGCATCCTCGACCGATGTTGGGGCGCTCAGCGCCGCCACAGCACAGAAGCATAATAATACAACCTGAAACATTTCGATTATATAAATTGTATGTCGACCTAAGTCGTGATAGGAAATCGAGAGGGGTCATGACATCCTGCTGTGATAAGCATAATGTAAGTTGTCAATGATGCATATCGATTACCATTAACATATCGTGACTTTTTGTTTACATTTATACCCTTATAGGTAATTTATTTATATTGAATAAGAATTATCAAGAAAATTGTAGTAGGTATTGCAATTATATCTACATAAAATTAAATCATATCTATTACTAATTACATATTAAAAATAAAAAATTCTACTTACTATTTTCATGGTGATTATATGAATTCAACCTACGTTATCAATCGATAGCAAACAGCGCAGTTATTGTGACGAAAATCGAAAAAAGTCAGTTTTTTTATATCAACGCTAATAGTTAAAACAATTTATTTCTTGCGATTCAAGATATCAGCTTAACACGTAAATCTAGTTATTACTGATTATTGATTTAATTAACTATGACTTTTTAATTGTATCTGACCATAAACATAACCATAGTCAATGATTTCAGATCGAGTAATTAAACTACCCATTACTATTAGTGTTAATACTTCAAATCTTGCATATGTCAATCCACTGTCTTGGGATAATAGAACAAATAGATACCTAGTATTCTGTTCTAATGTCTGTATTTTATAGTATGTAACTAACTGACGAGGAGTTAAGATACAAAGGGTAATATAAAAAATATTTCAACGATAGATGTTTAAACATTGTTTTCACATTTCGATTACGTTCTTTGAGCAGTATAGTTCAGCTTTAAAATTACCTAATGTAAGTGTTTTTGTTCGTTACACTTTGGTTACTCTATTATATCTAGATTTAAGTGATTCAGCATCTGCAATCCTTTGTAACAAACCCTATAACAGAACCTAATCTACTAATACTTTCAACATAAATTCATTTAAATTGGTATAAATCATTCAACACTTAATCATCGTCTACAAATCCTCTTATCCAAATATTTGAACTTTGCATTTAAAATAGTTACAGGTACGATTCAGCCTCGTTTTAGCCTAATATTTTAGATTCCTCCTAAAATTTTAGGTTCAGCAAAATTTCATGTATTTTCAAATGTTTGCAGATTAGAACGAATCAATTGTCTAATAAATGTACACACTGTTCTTTTAAACAAAATATATATTAAAAAAATGAAAAGATAGAGCGGTACTAAACAAATTTGAAACTCATTAGTATTGTTACAATTTCTTAATTAATTTGTTATCTTTTTCATTTTAATCATTTAATATAACTATTTTGTGTACAATAAATAATATACTTGTACTAAACGCCTATCGCAAGTATTAGAGAAATTCCTTAGTAACATTGCAGATGAAAATTATCAGGAGACCATATTTTCCAACTCTGTCTACAGCAAACTAAAAAAAATAACTGTTTAATGCAAATAAATAACCCATGAAAGGACAATGATTTTATCATTTGTTGTGTGTAACTAGATTTGGTTAACTCATATATTACGTATTAGAATTCAAAGTCTACCACAGCTATAATGATCAGAAGAAATAGTATATGTTATTTACATGTAGGTAGCAAACATGCCGAAGTTTTCATTCGAAATAAAATATAGCCTATGTTTTTTCTATCGTGAATACGCATGTATTATAAATATAATATATAATAAAAAGTATATGACGTTTATATTAACCATCAAGGCGGCAAAATATAACGAGCAATTAATATGAGCGATTTAAAATTATTTGCCATTTTACAACTTATGTTTCTTTAAAAAATATGCTCAATATAAAATATATATTAGAACTATTAAAAGGATTCCAGTAATTCTAAGTCTTTCTTGTAGGTAAAATATTAACATTGAAATTAATTCAGCGGCATTTAAATACAATAGTTATATTAACTTGAGATTTGCTCTAAAGTAAATTACTCGCATATGTAAAGGTGAACCAGTATCTTCAAACGTGACCAAGTATTCCTGTACTGCATTGATGCTACATCCATAGGTCATGTCACGCGTGATCTAATAAATAAAATATTCCTACAATACGAATGTGTTATATAAAGCAAATTGCTAAAACGTCAATTTCTGGTTTTTTACTGATAATTATTAAGTTAATTAGTATGTACAATTACTATGTAATATAGGTATAATGTCTTTATTATGTGATATGAGTAAATACGTAAACTTAAAATTAGGTATTCAATTTTATGTTTCGCTTTATGGGCGTCACAGTGTATTCTATAGCAGCACCATGCTGCTATTTTTATACATAAGAATTTTTAGTATCTGCGAACAATATAGCATATTATCTAAAACTCTTATTAACTTATTTTTGTGATTATTAAAATCACAAAAATAAGTTAATAACCGTTGTATTTTATTCTTCTGTGCCTAAACGTCGTAATATGAAGTATTTACATGAAAAAAAATATTTATTTTTGTGACAAAATACGAGAATATAAAATTATGACTTATGTGATTAGCTTTTGAGTTTATTTTCAATGAGAAAGACAATCGTATATAATTTTCTTGTTAAAATTATATTGTTTAAATTATAATAATAATGTGTCAGATTTTATTTATTATCTCTTACTGCACATATATTTAAATAAATATTTACATACGGAATAAAAGATTAACGTAGTTATCAAATCAAGGACTTGAGAGTTTTTAGATTATGAATTTTAATAATGTAGTTTACGTGCCATTACATTATACTGGGTTTTATTGTTTTTTTATTAAACTCTTTGTCATAAATACTTACACTAATCAATAGTATTGTACTTATTTAATTTACTTAGTAATATTTTAATGTCAATTGATACAACATTATAAAGAAGTACATTTTACAACTTTTTCTTGCGTTTTTTATATTATACTAGCTATACTTTGAGTTTCACAAGTTTGTATGTGATACAAACTTGATACATAAATAGACTATGCCTTGTGAGACATAGTCTATTTATGTATCAAATTTGAATTCATTGAAATAAATTCAGCTGTTCGACAATTCAAGGATAATAATAAATACTAAACGGTCACACCAACCAGCTGGTCTTTAGACTAGAGTACCCTATGTTGTTTTAATTGATTACCCGTTTGTGTAATAAAATAAAGCAATGAGCATGTAAGTGCACAACCCAAATCGCTTAAATTCAAGTCAATTAATAAAATTTCATTTCCTAAATTAGCCCAATCAAGAATCTAACTCGGGATCTCATTACGCAAAGCAAAATACCTATAATGTACCTACCGCTGTACCACGGAAGTCATCGTTGATTATAGTTATGTCATATTAATATTAATCAACTAAATATTAATATCATCATAAAGTTTAGTTGTACTCGTAATGCAGACCTACTCGTTTAAATAAACTATGATCCTAATAAGATCTAGGAGGTTTTAAAACTTGCAAATCATTAATTTCACGGATACTTCTTATTGCAACAGACAGAGTTTACCAGTATTTTTCGTTTTTTTTTTATTTACCTCTTCTTCCGGCGCTGGTCCTGTAGCCGTAATAAATCACCAATCAATATTACTATTATACTTAATTTGTTATGTGAGAAATCTCACATAGATAACATAAATTATTATAGACGTTAACATTTCCGGATTAGGTTATTATACTATATTAGCGTTCATACATTACAATTAAATTAATATGATGGAAGTGGACATATTTATAAGAGATATTTGTAGAATCCTATGTAAGGATAGAAGTTGTCACCTAGTCATTATCATCGCCATCAAATCAGGCTTTAAGTATCCACAGCTGAACATATGTCTCTACCTTGGAAAGATTTTACCCGTAGTGGCCACGCTTGACAGGCGAATTGGCAACCGCAGTTAGTTATTGGAGATGTTTTAAGAGGGTTGCTGCTGACCAACCCTCGCCCTCCGTTAGTCGCCTCTTACGACACCCATGGGAAAGGAAGGGGTGGCCTATTCTGTACCGGGGCTACACAGCGTTACCTAGTCACCTAGTACTAAGTACTATTTAGTTATGTTAATAATACAATACAAAATCTTATATTGTTTACAACTTATTGTAAAAACACGATTGTATTTATTGATTATCAAATTGTACTTTTATCTTAAATTATTAGAATAGACGAGAATATTTCTTATTAATACAGTACAATTGTAAATAGACTATGTCTGTGCATAGGAGATATGTTGAACGTGTTATATGTTTTTGAAGGTCTAACTTAAAATATGTTTCATCTTAATATGCTATCTATTTCATTGGAGATGAGAAGTAGTCTACTTCAGAGGTTCCTAAACTATTAAGATAACAGAACGCCCACCAAATACTTATTATTTTACGACACTCCATATCCAATGATCAAAAACACTGTAATTTCAAGAAAAACAGAATCTTTTATTAGAAGTATTGTAAAAATATAACACTTTATAGTTTCCTTTAATTTTTAATTTAAAAAATGAAACTGTTTCACTGCATAAATAATTTCGCGGAACCCTGGTAACTTTTTTACGGAACCCCTACGTTCCGCAAAACCCACTTTAGGTATCGCTAGTCTGATTCAATAGTTTTTCTGCATCTGTAATGCAAGCGTACGAAAGAGCACACAAAAAGATAATTTTCAAGTTATAATATTCACTAGTGGCATTCATTCATAAATTTAACAAAGCCAAACCTTGATTGCACCTAGTGGTAAATTGTTAAATAAACACAAATCACTTAGACTTGACCTTTGTTCATTAGTTAGTGTATATTTTATTTGATTCTTCAAGATCAACGAACGAAATACAGTAACTAGGACAGTCAATTACAGAGGTACAAGGATTTTAAATTAATAGAACATTTTTTGATGTACGTTGTACATCTTTATAAACAAAATTATATACAATATCGCCATATATCCACAATCGTACAATCTGTCATTCGATTTTAAATGATTTTTGTGATACTGTATAATGGCTTTAGCAGTAATATAAGGTTATAACGTATTATAACGTACTCCTGTACTGTAAAATTATAGAAGTAAGAACAGAAACAATTACACTAATAGGTATGCACATATTTTAAATAAGTGCAAGTAACAATTTTGAATTGTCAAAGCATTGAAATTGTAAATAGTCGATCCTCACATACTTATGTATTATTATTTTTAATTTAATTCATAGAAATTTAGAACCTTACCTATATTTTTGTTGTAACATTTATTATAGAATATAATAAAATCTATATTAATATTATAAAGTGGAGATGTTCGTTTTTTTTTGTATGTTTGTTTCTTTGTAATGGATAAACTCAAAAATTACCCAAACGATTTTAATAATTCTTTCACCTATAGAAAGCTGCAATATCAGCAAGTAGCAGTGTTATTTAAAAAAAAAAACTAATCCTTACGAAAATTACAATAATATAACCCAAAGTAGTTATAAAAAATTTGTCTATAAAAGCTAATATGAAATATCAATTTATATATATTATAT